TATTATTAATTATAAGAGATTTTAATTAGTATGATAATATTTTTTATTAAGAAGTACATGATAAAAGTTTCATAATTCATAATAATTGTCAGTTTCAACTGCAACTGGTTCAACTAACGAGACGTTTAAAATTTATTGTAAAATATGATCTCATTTGTACTTAACTATATATTATGTAAGACAAATTCAATATTATTCATTAAAGATATATTTACACACGCACATATATATATATATATATACTTACCAATGTATTCTTTTTTAAAGATGTACATTTAAAAAATATTTATCAATAGGTTAGTTTTTATGAAAATTAATTTTATACTATATATACGTATAAATAATTTACTGTACCTATATAAAAAAATAAAAAATATAAAAAACGAATGATTATAAATTTTAATTTAATAAAAAATTGAATTTTAATTATATGTTTTATGTATATATTGTAATTAGGTTATATATATATATAAATTGAATAAAAATAGTAAAAAAATTTTATAATTATATAAATATTAAAAATAAAAATATAATTTATTAAATTTTAATATACCTGAGAGATTTTTAATTACATATTAAATACATATTAACAAATTATATTAATTATATCATACACAAAAATTTTTTATATCAAAAATTTTTTAACATTTTTACAGGTGAAAGATTTTGTGAATCTTTACTTGTATAAATATTTAGCAAATAATGGAGATAGAAGAAATTTATAGCCTTACAATTTTTCCTCCAGTAATATCCAAATTCGCAGTTCAATGGTCTATGGATAATAATATATCTATTCTTACTGAAAAAGGAATTCACATATTTGTAAGTTTAATTTGATAATGAATAATGAAATTAATAGTACATCTAAAATTAATAATAAATTTAATTATTTTATGTAGGAATTGATACCTTCTCCAATATCTCCTTCTTCAACTATAAAATTCTCTAGATCTTTTATTTATACACCTTCAACATTTCCAACAGAAATTATATCTAACAGAATAGAATCCAAAATTTGGAATATGCATCGTGAAGAACTTTATTCATTTATAATTGAGGAAAGTATGACTCCAAAATTATCTAATGTAAAAGAAATGGTACCAAAAATAGTTGATTTAGCATGGTCACCAAAAGATTTAATACATCCAAGCAAGTGTCTTATTGCTATTTTAACTTCAGCAGGTGCTGTTATAATTGCATGTAAAATCTGTAGAGATTGGTATCCTGTATATGATTTATCTTCTCTACGTTACAATATTATAGAACAAAAAATTAATGAAGAATTAGAAGAAAATAAAAATAACTCAGCTTCATTTGAAACATTCAAAGTTTATATAAAAGCATTACAAGCTTCTTGTTTTACTTGGAGCAAATTTTTTGCAGATTTTGCATATTTTGTTGTTGCATATCTTAATGGAGATATAATTATTTATAAAATCCTAAAAGTATTTGATTATAATAAAATAGTTAATCCTAAAATTGTAGGAATAATAAGATTAAATGAATCTGTAAAAATGAATGTTTTAAATTGGATTACAATTGATACAAAAAAACATCTAATTATTATTGGATATTTTGATGGACGTATTTATGGACTTAATGTTGAAGAGCATGATGGAAATTTTGAATTAATGTTCATTGAGAAGTATTATGATTACACTGATCGTATTGCTATTAGTGCTATAAAAATATTTCCTCAAAGTGATTTGAATATAAATGTTCTTATTGCAAAAGGATATTATCTATTTTTGTTATGCTTTAAAGAAAATGGTACATTAAGAAGTATGCAACATTTGCAATTAGAAGGTTTTATGATTTCAGGTAAATAAAGATATTTTATTATATAATATATAAAAAATATGATATTATATAAAAAAATTAATTATTTCTAGGAATGATTTGTATAAGTACAAACTGTGCACTGATCACAACAGAAAATGGTTCTATGTTTGCAATTGATATAAAAGAAAATCAGTTATTGAAAACAAAAGTAAATAATAAATTATCACAAGTTCATGTTCGATGTCTAGGTCTTGCACATTCTCCAAGTTCCGTGATTTTTATAAACATAACTAGTCCTAGCACTATGTACGATCATTTAGTAGTAAAGGAACCAACTAAAATATATATGTTTTGTTTAAAGAACAAAAATTGGAATCCATTATTTATTTTGAATCAAAATAACATGAAAAATTTGAGCAATTATGGGATTGTTTAGAAGCGATTAGGATAAAAGCAACAAAAGCGTCAGATCTATCATTAATATTACCAAAAGTTCCATCTAATTTGGAATTTTTATCTTTGCATGAGTTACGAATAGTAATGTGGACATCTGTGATAATGGAAATTTGCGAAAAGAGGAAAATCATTCAAGGAATGAATAATATTGCTGGAGAAATATCAGAAGCTCAACCTTTAATTTTTATTCACACTGCATGTAATTATCTTATACATCTTGAAAGTAAATCTTCTTTGATAGAACTACAAAAAGTTTCTATGAATTTATTAAGAATGTATTTAGAAGTATATTTGGCTGGAGAAGAAAATGAGAAAGTAACACCACTTTCCAAACGTATTAGAGATGTTTTAAAAAAAATATCTCAATTCAATTTAAATAATATTGAGACTTGCAATCTATGTGGTGAAATGATAAATGATCTTTCTTGGAAAATTAGTAAGTGTTCACAAGGTCATATATTACCTAGATGTGCTATTACTCTTTTACAAATAACCGTGGTGCCATACAAGACATGTCCAATATGTGGTTTAATTTTTCATCCATGTTTGGACCAAGAATTTAAAGAAACAAGATGTCCTTTTTGTGATGTACCTGCACTTGAAGAAAACCGAATGTTGAATTCTAAATGTTATATTCCAAAGGAAAAAAGTTTGTCCAGATTACATAATTATATCTTAGAAGATCAAGAAATGGAAATAGCTACTGATGAATCTTAATGCAAATTTAAAATATCTTTTAATAAATGTAATCAATAATGGAATGTGTAAAATATGTGTATATTTCTTATCATAATTTTATGTATTTATTTATTATTAACTAATGTATTTTTAAGAATAAAAATAATATAAATAATAAAAATGATATATGCAAAAAAGATCATATTTATTTTAAAAATCTTAATAATTGATAAATGTAAAAATTGTAGAATTGTTTTATATTTGATATACTTAAACATAGTTACAGGTTCTATCCCTAGAGGTCAGTAAAGTCAGGTGAACCATATTTATCTCAGTGAATTATTATATTCTTAAATGTGAGTTTTTTCATTAATTTTATGCTTTTTTATTACTATAAATATAATAATTGTTATCAATTGATGTATTTTATAGAAAATTAATATTAAAAATTTTTTTTAAATTTATTGATTTAATAGATATTCTAATACGTAAAGCATAATGTAATACAAACATATAAATATAAAACTACAAAAATAAAGTATTTATTAAAGTTTAATATATCAAATATTGGAACATTAAGTTTATTTTTATCTTAATTAATATGTAAAGGTAATAGCTATTATGCATTCATTCGCAAAATAAATTAGTTACAATTTAATTATAATTTTTGATATAAAATAAATTATAATTTGACAAAAATAAAACAATAACAATTAATATTTAGTTCATTAAAAATATTTCATTGATTAGATATGATTTAAAACAGAAATTTATTAATACATAAGAGACAATGGATGGATATATAACATTATAAGTTATATATATATTTTTATATTACATGAATATATAATTAACATATCAATAAAAGATCTTGCACAATATTATTCTTTTAATTTATTTTAATCTCATAATTTTATAATTAGTTGTTTAGATATAATTAAAAAATATATTTTTTTTCTGTTTATTATTGCTATATATATAATATTATTATAATCAATGTTATAAGACAATATTTTTACACAAAAAAACTAAAATAATTTAAATAATTAACAAAATAATTAATAATAAAAGAAAAATAATGATAATGTTTAAAAATTTCTTTATTAATTTATAAATCTTAAACTATAAATATTTTCAGAAATATAAGTAAAAACTTAAACTGAACTTTGTAATTTGAAAATGAAAATGTTTTACATTTAATTCAAAGTCTTTTCAAAAATTATTTTATCAATCACTATGTTTCCTTCTTTCAAGTAAGTATACATAATAAAGAAAATAAATCTAATAAGCTAATTTTTAAAAATTTTATTTTATTATAGATATAAATATTTGAAAGAAATTTTATTTAATTAAGTTAAATTTATATAATTTATTCACATTATATTAATAATTTATTAATTTATATTTGATTTTAGAAAAAATACTAGAAAGAAATATTCACAAACATCTGAGATAAAATATCCTTCAATATCTATGAAACAAAGATTTGCAAAAGTAAAGAAGTTGCAAAATTCAATGAAGTCATTATGTGACAATGATTCCAGTTCTCTTGAAGACGTACGACCTTTTTTTCTTAAATCTAATTCATGTAAGATAAATACAAAAAATTTGTTATAGAAGGAAATTAGAAGAAATATTCAAAATTCAAAAATATTGCTTTAAAATTTTTAGGTGACAATTCAGTTGATAAATCATCTGATGAAGATAATATTAATGAATCAAAACATGGGAAAAAATCTACATTCTATACAATTACTACAGATGAAAGTGAAAATGATTATCAAAAAACAGATAAAATACTTTCAAAAACTAACAAACATAAAAACAATGTGAAAGATAAGAAAATAATTATGATAATATAAAAAAAAGAAACAGTAAGAATGAAAAAATAGATAATGATTCAGAAGATGAGATTTATGAAAAACATGCTAAAAAGGAAAAAAAATATTTAACATTAAAGTCAAAACAACATTTCCATAGAGAAGATTCTAGCTCTGGTAAAGAATTCCAAAAATCAAAAATTTCCCGTACTGGTTTGAATGTCACAAAAAAATTAACTCAAGCTAAAAAAGATAGTATAATTTCTATTGAATCAGATTTAGAAACTATGATACAGTCAGAAAAAAAATTTGAAATTAGCAAAGAACAAAGTTTAGAGTTAAAATTTCATGTTGTTAAAATTTTTAATAAATTTAAGGAAGCTTGTTCGGAATATGAATTACAAATGGAACATGTTAAATGCAAATACTTCAAAAAAGAATTAATATACCAGAAATCAATAAGTAATGTTATAAAAAAAACAAAAAACGTGATCAATAATCTTAAAACAGAACTTGATGCACAAGAAAAAGAATTAATAAATTTTTATAAAGAATGGAATAAAAAATATAAAGTACAAAATTCAGATCACGAAGATAATTCTTTAAATGAAATTGAAGTTACAAAAAAGACAGAGGATAAAGAAGAATCAGATACATCAAAAAGTAGTTCAAATATGGCAAGTATAGTTTCTGAATGTGACAATGAAGAAATATTTTCTGATACTGAAACAAATATTATGAAAATAAACATTGATAAAAATAGAGAAAACGAAGATACGATAGTTGCAAAATTTTCAGAAAAATCAAATGATAGTGAAAACAGTAATCATATTATATCTCCTATTTTAGGCAGTAACAATAAAAAAGGAAATAAAACTTCTACAGATGATAATTTGAAAATAATTGATGAAAATAAAAAGTTTAAAGAATTTAACATATCTTTGAATGAACACATCATAAACGAATCTGTAGATGATATATTTAAAGAAAGTATAATTGAAAATATGGATGATATCGATTTAAAAGGTGAATACGAAAATGAAAAAAATTTAGAATCAAAAGAAAATGAAGAAAATAGCGATAATAAAGATGAAAATTCTTTGAGAAATGATAAATTGAATGTAGAAGTTAAAAGTAAAAATTTGTGTGCAATTGAAGTTAAAAATATAAAATCTAAATCAATCACTTCTGAAAAAATTTCAAAATCTGTTGAAAAAGAAGAAAGTAATATTTCAGATGAAATTGATGATGAAGAACAAGCTAAAAGAGCAATGCTAGAATCAGATTCAGAAACACCTACAAATGAAGAATCATTGGTTGAAAAATTTAAACAGTCTAGTACAAGTGATAGTTTTGAAGAAAAAGATGTATTTCAAACGAAAAAAATTAAATTTGATAAAAAAAAGGAAAAAATAAGATATCAAATAATACCAGTTGTAAAAATAATTCATCAGATGAAAATGAAATTATTAAAGAAGAAGCTTGTGCTAAGAATACTTTACTTGAGTCAAATTCAGATGATTCTACGAGTCCTTATGACATAAAAAAAAATTCAAATAAAAAATGCGATTCTAATGACGATAGCGAAAAATTAAGCTCTGATAATGATATTATTTCAGAACAAATTAAAAACAAAAATAAAGATTCTACAAAAGATGATTCTAAAGAACAAACATTTAAAATAAACTATATTGGGTCAGATAAAAAATTAAAAATGCTTTCTCAAGTTATTATTGAAAGATTACCGGAAAATATTCTTAAAAAACATAAAAACGCATTACAGAAATCACAACAATATTTAGAAAGTAAAGAATTTAAAAGGTATAAAATGAATAAATTATTTTTCATTTATTTTTAAAAATTTGTAAAATTTATTATTTTTACAGTTTAATTGATTTGGATAGATTACAAAAAGATTATAAGAATAATATTGATATAACACGAAGTTCTTTACCTAAAAATATGATGAAACGTAAAACAAAGGAAAAGGAAGATTCTTTATTAGATCATTTAAAGAATATGAAAGATGATGAATTTGAAAATACAAGTAAAAAATCTAATATGGAAAATAATAATTTAATCGCAAAAACATATGGTAGTTTTCAAACTAACAAAGAATTAATAATGGAAGCAGATGCAGCTACAAAGAAAATACTTTTATATTCTTCTGATTCAGATATTGGTAAATATTAGATTAGTTTTTCTTAAATGTAGAATTAAAAATTGTTTTTTAATATGCATATTAATTTTTTATATAAATTTATTTAATATATTTTTATTTAATATATTTTAATTCAGGTGAACAAAAAATTACTTTTGAAAATAGTGAAAATGAAATAAAATCAGAAAGTTTAAAAAAAGATTCAAAAAAATCAAATCAGAAAACAGAAAAAAAGAGTGATGATAAGGTAATATTTAAAATGAATAAATACAATAAATTTATTATTTATATTAAAATATTAATTAATTTGATAGGAAAATGATGAAGAATGGAAGAAAAACAAATGGAGACGAAATAAATTATTAACAATGAAATTTTCTTCAGATTCAGACTCTGATATTACAAGGGCAAAATGGAATAAAAAACAAGAAGAGTTATCAGAAAAGATGGAAGAAACTCATGTGTGAGTTATTTAAAATCGAATTGTTAGAATATGAATTAATAATAAAATATTATATGAATTATAATATTTTTTTATATAGTGAAAATTTAGCTATCAAAAACAAAGTTATGAAACGTGAAAGAAGAAATCGTAGAAAAATTATAGATTCTGATTCAGATATACAACTTTTAAATTCTGATACAAATATTAAATCTTCTGTCACATCAGAAGATAATAAATCTTCAGATAGCGATACTTCAGTAGGAAAGCCAAAAAAAATGCGTAAACGTAAAACATATAAATCATCTGATACAGATTCCTCATTTACAGAAAAAAGGTATATATTTTATAATTAATTTTAAAAAGAATATAGTATTGTGCAAAAGTTTTACACTATTTATTATTTTTACAATATATATTATTCTTGAAAATGAAATTTATTATCATATATCTTTTTGCTTTATTCTGATGGTTTTTCTATATTAAACTATCAATTTTTATGAGATATATTTTAAAAAATTTTATGATTAAAATTATATATATATATCTATATTGATGAATAACTTTTTATATTGATTTATACATTTATTTAGATCTAAGCCAAAGAGAAAACGTATTAAAAACATGTCCAGTGATAGTGATAGTGATAATGACCAAATTATAAACTCTCAAGGAACACCTGGAAAGAAAGGTCGGAAAAATATTCGAAAAGTAATGAAAGATAAGCAAGTTACAGATGATACTAAACAAGCTGCTAAAGAAGAGGAAGAAAGACTTAAACGTATTGCTGAGAGACAAAAATTAGTGCGTATTTTTAAATAATTAATTTTTGATTGTATCAGAATTAAAAATGATCTTTTTTATTCTTTATTTAATATAGTATAATGAAATGTATGAAGTAAGATTGGCTGGAGAAGAAAAAGTAGATAAACTAATATTGGATTTTAATCCTGAAACAAAAGAAGAATTGATAACTGTTCATAAAGATCTAGTGAAACGTTTGAAACCTCATCAAGCCAAGGGAATAAAGTTTATGTGGGATGCATGTTTTGAATCACTGGAAAGAATAAATTGTTCTCCTGGGTCTGGATGTATAATTGCACATTGTATGGGATTAGGAAAAAGTCTTCAAGTAATCGCGCTGGCGCATACACTTTTAACACATGAAAAATCTGGCGTTAAAACAATTATGATCGTTTGTCCTTTGAGCACAGTACTTAATTGGCTCAATGAATTTAAATATTGGTTAAACGATATAGAAAATGATATCGAAATTTATGAAATGACTAAGTGAGTTTTATACAAGTAAAATAAATAAATAATTACATGACATTTATTCATTAATAAATTTTTTAAAGATTAAAGAAAAATATAGAACGGAAGATTCAATTAGAAAGTTGGCAAAGAACTGGTGGTATACTTCTTATTGGTTATGAAATGTTTAGAAATCTCACTGGTACAAATAATAGAATGAGAAAAAATATGAAAGAAGAAATTTTACGATACTTAATAGATCCTGGTCCGGATATGATAGTTTGTGACGAAGGCCATTTACTAAAAAACGAAGATACTGCACTTAGTAAATCCATAAAACGGATTAGAACATTACGGAGAATTGTACTTACAGGAACACCACTCCAAAACAATTTAATAGAATGTAATAATTAATCTTTATTGAATAATAAGTATTTATATAAATAATTTAACGTCCATTTAGTTAAATATCTTTATAATAAATAATAAAATAAAAATTAACTAATGTATTTCAGATCATTGTATGGTACAATTTGTAAAGCCAAATCTTTTAGGTACAAAGAGAGAATTTTTAAATAGATTTGCAAATCCAATAACTAATGGTCAATTCGATGATTCTACTGAATACGACGTTAAAATAATGAAAAAGCGTGCATATGTTTTGCATAAGATGTTAAAGGGTTGTGTACAAAGATTTGATTATTCTGTATTAACACCATTTTTACCACCAAAACAAGAATATGTAATTTTTGTTAGTTTAACAGAAGTGCAAATTAATATGTATAAATATTATTTGGATAATTTTGCAAGGTACCCGAATTGATTTTGAAATTGAACTTCATCAAAATTTAATGTATATTTTTTATTTCAGGCGAATACGTAATGCCAATGGATCTCTTTTCGCCGATTTTCAAGCATTACAAAGAATATGGACTCATCCTATAGTTTTACAATTGAATGCAGAAAAAATAGAAAAAATGAATGAAAGGAAATTAGATTCCAGTGATTCTGAGGGTTCTCTACGAGATTTTATTACTGATAGAGAAACAGATTCTATAAGTAGTAATATAAGTACTACTGACGAAGATGATGAGGTAAAAAGTATTGACAATGTTGTCGGAAAAAATACAAGACGTAATTCAAAAAATAATAAGTCTGGTAAGATTTTA